TACTTCAGTTTTGATGCAAAAACGCATGATCGCACCGGCTCGCCTGGTGCGTTCCAGCCTTTGTTTATTCCTTTTTTGACCTTTTCTATCATCCATTTCTACATTTTCCAACTAAATTTTCACTTAATCTTAAATAGGGTTTGAGGACCTACCATAACAAACCTAGTGCTGCTAGCGATGTCAGGGCACTCACGGCAGGAAAGGGACGGGAAAGGAAGAAAGAAGCCTTTTTCGATTCCTCAAGAATGGTAGGGAAAACTGTAGGAAAAGGCCTTTGATGCACAAAAAAATTAATTAAATGCTACTTTTCATTAAGAAAATGGCTTAAATCACGTGCTTTTTTTAAAAAATAGTGCTTAAATCCCACCCACCTGCTTGTTGACTGACACAATATGGGACCGTATTTAAAGTCGAATTTCTAAATGAGGACGTTTCGGATAAAGCGGTGTGAAAAAGACAACCAGTTAAGGCCGATTATATGCGGTAACGATGATCTTGGCGCCAGCTTCGCAGGTTTAACATGCAGCAATATTGGCTTCACTGAATTATTCAACCAAACAAAATCGAGGAACAAATACCTTTTTTGCAATAGTACGTTCAAGATCATTTTTGTATGCGAGTGCATTCGATGCATCAAGAAACCTCGAAAAACTTCTTTCTGGAATTTTTGCACCATGCATATCATTATCGTATAATCCAAGGTTTTCTCTGCTATACCTGCAGCAAATGCACAAACATAAGGACAGAAAATCTACTGAGTGAATTAAAAGATTTCTTTTACAAAATTCGACTTATTATTGTAACATCCGCAGGCAGATAAGGAGAGGAGGAGGAAAAAAGTTGTGATGAACGATCCTTTTCCGAAAAAGTCAAAACTTTTACGAGTTGGATATCAAACGAGAGGTGAGGGCACGCGGGAAGTGGCACATTGAGGAAGTCGACCCTTTGACGACCAGTATGCAAACAGAGTTACCCATTACTGCATCATGACGGGTGTCAAGCCATTTTTTATAATACCAAAAAATAAAGTGCGGTTATATTTAGCAGTATTATATCAATGCTTTTTGTCACCACAAAATGAGGTGAAAGAGACACTTTTCATCCCTTTCACAAAAAATAGTAAATTTCTGCCTCCCATTACGTCTTTCATTAAAATTTCCAAAGCCACATCTCTCCGAGAACATCTAGACTCTGATAAGATCAGCATCCATGATATATAACCAAACAAACGAAAAATCAGCTTCGGCGCCTAATTTTAGCTATTACGTGACAAAACCAGTGGTTTTAAGCATTGAATTTTTCAAAATACGCAATGCGAATTCTTTGTTTTTGCTCAAAAGTCAGAAATTTTTTTAGTGGAACTATTTATTAGTGTATGGTTTAAAAAACTGGAGAAAACTAGACGTACATTACACCATCCTGCTAAACATTTATATTCATCCGCAAATAAGTTGTGTTTTATGTAACTAGTTAAAAAACAGAAATTTCAGTACCTATTCGGACGTCATAAGTAGCGCGCATCGTAGCAAACGACAAGCGCTAACTGTAGAGATCTGTTCAAGATAGAAGAGCATAACATAATTCCGACTGGCCTATGAAATGCAGTAATATTGATAATTACCGGCTATTTTGGTAGTTCTGGTAATTGGTCGTTTTGGAAAAAAGCTGTCGTAAAAACACAGCAACCATTCATGCTGTTAATGTTCTGACGGTTTAAATTTAACGCAAAAAAGCATGACCGCTCCGGGAAGCTGAAGCGTCGCTGCTCGGGTTTCATTTGCGCAAAGATACAAAAACGTGTAAAAACTGAACATTCAAATTAACAACAGGAAAGTTTTTTTACCGTATCCATTCATCCGTAGCATCCAGTTCAAACTTTTCGCGCTCCTTGCGATCTTTTTTACGGCGGAAAAACGAAAAGCGCGAATGTGACTCATTTAGTGATGGATTTGCTGCACTCCGGTCAGTTCGGAACGAAGCTACGGAGCACAACGCCGCCTTCTGATCCAGTCGCTCTGATGAACTCCTGAATATGTTGCATGTTGTAAAAAATATAAAGATAATCTGAAATAAGGCCATTTCCAGCATAACCAGCTCAGCTAGATGGCTTTTCGGCAAATGATAGCAATGGCCCGTCAACATCCCATAAAAGAAACAAATTTAACCTTTTCATCTGCTCTAAATTAAACACTATGATGCTGGCCTTTTGGGCTCTGGTTCTTCCGTTTTAAAACAGTCTGTGACAATTCGGGTTGGTTACTGCATGCGTCTGGTTAACTTTTGCTTCCTTCAGCTTAAATTGGTGCTTTATTATACTGACTTATCCTGATTATGCGTTTTTGCTTATATGCAAATGCAACGCAGGCTGGAACGCACCGGGCCGGCCCGTGCGATCATGCGTTTTTGCACCGGACTTGAAGTACTCAGGTCATTAACTGCAT